TACGGCGCTGGTCACCTGTCCGCCCACGCGCCCGCAGAATCCCAGTTCCAATCGGCTCGATCCGGTGCCTGTTGACTTATCACTCTACATCTTGGATTGAGTATGTAATCGTGGTTGCAATCAAACAATCGAACGAAGTTGACCGAAGATGAGGTCGACCAAAGGTCGTACGGTCCCAAACATCCCCTATACCCCCTACGATAGTTCTTCGAACTACGAACTCCTTTAAGGAACTACAGCAACTTTAACTTCATTACTGATTTGAAAATGCACCTTTACTCAGTCGCAGCACCTTCAATCGAACCAATGGTCTAGAGCGCATTTTACGATGTCGTAGCAATTTAACGTTAGTTCTAGATGATGCTAGGAATTCGAGCTAAATGACATTGTTATAAAGTGTTGCCAGTGCCAACACTACCGATACTCTTCTGCTCGAGTATTATTACATGGAATATCCAATGCCATCGAACGGCGACATGCGTGTTATGGTGTTCATAGATCTGCGACTCCCACAATCAACAATCCAATACAAATCCATACCTCTACCACGTTTTTTTTTTTTAGCTTATATCATTTCTTGACGAAATCGAAATGATTCTAGTATGTGTTCTTCTTCGATATTATCACACAACACATAGGATTACCCTGCACTAATTGATACGCACAAAGTTGTCTTATTAGATGATATCATGTATAAACGATTTAGTTGAGCAAAAATAAGTTTGACTTTTTAGAAAGTTCTCATAATTGGGCATGGCCTGTCTCAAAACAGTACCCATTCAAACCAGGCTCACCGGTTACCCGACAAAAAAATCTCTCTTCGACGGTAACGATATATATGGAAGATACAGTTAAAACTTTTGTCACCAGAGCTGTATCTTACAGAATTAACAACGCTCCAAAGATCAACTAAAACGAATATAAATGAATATTAATTAGTAATACCAAATATTATTCGACTATACACGAAATTATTGTTGCCATACCCATTCTTGTAGCATTGCTGCCTAAGCTTTCACCCCGCATTTAAAGGAACCAATCGATGGCGCAGTTTGCGAGATCTCGGCGGCATTCTCGACAGACTCCATGGCAATGGTGGCCAATTTATCGTTGAGCACAGCACGAACTCCGTGTAGTTAGTCTGTCACGTTATACGCGATTGTTGAGACTCGAATTGAGTGCTAGAAAGCAAATTTGAGAATGAATTGAATATAAATGGAGAACTTCGTCTAGCTATGGTTGATGTTGAATGGCAGCTTGAAGTAGTAGAGTCTAGCTGCCATCTGAGAGATCGAAG